GGGTTAATTGTGAATGCCAGCTGTGCCAGCTGGCGCAAAATATCTACATAAAGCAAATGAACAGGGTTCAGCCACCAAAAATGGCCAATTGACCAACATAAGTGCCGGCCGACCAAATATAATGCCGATCGGCCAATACTTTTGGCCGATGGAAAAAAAATAGGGCCGATGGCTTCAAGCCTTGGCCGGTGGGTTGAGGGTATGGCAAACAAGCCACCCTCTTTCCTTAGAAGCAAAAACACAAGTGTTTGGTCCACAACCAAGCACAAAACAAACAAGTTGGGAGATCTTGAGGCAAGGCGTGTAGCCGAGACCTCCGAGAACTCAAAACGAACACGAGCATGGATGATCATCGAGTGTTCAAATGATGACGTCCAAGTCTTGAGGACGGTCAAAAATAGGGTGTCTACAACGGGTCAAAAGGCGAATTAGTGCGCGGATTAGCACGCAGGTCGTGCAGAGCAGATGGACGCAGGTCCGAGCGTGGAGGGTTGACGCGCGAATCTGGGCGCGAGACGCTGGGCCGCAGCTTTGGGCTTCTTGGCTACGTCGCTGAGCTAGGCGGTCCTAGAGGCTTTGGGCTGCTGGGCTCCGCCTGGCTGACTTGGGCCGATTGCTGGATTGGCCCAAAAAATTTCTTTTTAATTCTAAGGCCCAATGGAATTGATTTCCTTGATGTATGCTTTATTTTGGGCCCTCTTTCTAATTTTAAATTCAGCCCAAAATTCTTAGTTTGCAAAACAGTGTCTTCGCACTGTGTATTCCGGTCGCCTTCTCCGGTGATGGAAGTCGGCAACCACACACTGAAATTTGAACTTTGTGGATCAAATTTTCGCCCTTTTTCACAACGAATTTCACCGGTGTAATCAAAATTTTGAGAAGAACAAGATGGTGCTAAATTGGAGACACAAATTGAACCGAAAAATATTTTATAAAATTTCTTCCAACGGTATAATTCGGCCTCACTTTCGGTAAGATTCGGAACAATAGCACCACCAACGGTTATTTTCTTTGGATAGTTTTCTGGGAATACAACACGTTGGTGATGATTAAATAAACAAACGGAATTCACCAATGCCGAAGATTGACGGTCAATAATTTTCTGAATTTTCGGTAAAAAGAGTTCGGAAACTTTTCTTTCTTCCGGACTATATTTCAACATCTGCGATAATGTGTAAACCTGCTCTTATACCACTGTTAGATAACCTTAACAATGGCAATGGATCAAAGTTCCCGTGAGGGTATTTATCACGCAGAAGAATACAATCTGGAAGAGGAAAAACAGAGAGAAATTCAAGTGAAAGGAACCCATGTTCTGTCCATATATTCATAGTATATGTCTTAGTTGTTGATCAATGGTTATAACCTTTGAAATCAAACTCAATAGTCACCATGTTTCCAAATGTTGTGTCTCTTCATTCAAACTTTAAACTTCAAACTTCCAGTTGCTTCTTTTTGCGGGAAGATTATATCATTATATAAAGATTTGATTCAGTGTGAGAGGGTCCACCATATTATGGTGTGATCACCTCTCATACCTTCAAATACAAGAACAGAAACAACTCAAAACAATACATATAAAACAAATTAACACAAATAACAAATACAAAGGAACTAATATTTAATAACACTCGACTAGAAAATTACTTTTAAAATTGTCATATAATTAATTTGGGGGTAAAGGAACTAATATTCAATAAAATTGCACCCAAAAACTATTTTTAAAATTGTCATATAGTTAATTTGGGATAGGAACCTTTGTGCTTTTGGAGATGTGAAATCTTACAACTTTGAAGAGGATTTCTTAAAATTTTTGGGGGGTGCCATGGCCTCTCTATGCTCCTCCAAAATATATCTTTTGAGTGCCATGTCAATTGGGATAATTATTTAATAATTCCAAAGTATGACATAATATTGTGTTCTTGATTAGTAACATAGTTAAGGTGGGACAATATTGACCTACTTTTGTTAAATAGTTGAGAAATAAAGAATAACCTACTTAACATATTTTGTAATTTTTCATTCATCAAAACATTATGTCCATAATATTATGCGATATTTCAGAACCACTTAATAATTTTCTATTATGGAAACAATTTCTCCGTAGTCTACTTACCATGTTTCCTCCATAGTCTACTTACCATGCATTTTGCCCCTATGGGCTCACTCTGGATCTACCTTTACGATTCAAACTGTTTATTTTATAAGGCTTGTCAGAGAAAAAGGTGATTCGATTGTGTAGATACTGGTATCCGAGTAACTTGATTTTTAAGTAAGAATAATCTAGTTGACGGATCTTACAAGATGAATATTTTAATTAATCCCTCAATGAACAAATTGCACTATGTAGTAAACATAGAAATTGAGTCCGAAGGGTTCATTTGGCAAGAAGGTTGGGGTTGTTTTAGTTACAAAACAACAAAATAAGTTTTTTAGCCCAATAAGATAAAATGTCAAATCCAAACCATAATTATTTCATTTTTTTTTCCATAAAAGTTAAAAAGGCTAAAAAGTTCATCCCAAACGAGATCTTTTAGCCTCAGGCTAAAATAGTCAAAAAGTTAAAAAGCCAACCCACATCCCAAACAAAGGCTTAATTGATCCCTAAAGCCTTGTTTGGCAACTACATGTTTTACAACTACATGTTTTAGCTAAAAAGTCATTATAATTTGTTACATCACTCTTTCTATTTTTTTACATGTCTTTTTATAAAAAGTCAAAAAATTATTAAAATAATTTATTTCTAAACAAGACCAAAACATGGGTTGCCCTTTATTTCTACTATTTTAACTTATGATATGATGTGTTAAGATAAAGTATTATTGATACATGAATTATGGAGATGGATGGTCAAAAACGCTTTTCTCCTATTTTATCATGAATGAAATAGAATAATAGTACAGCCGCCCCTCATGACTGGACACTTTTTACCCGCACGGTGGTTCGGTAACAAAAGAGTGGTTTGGTCTACGTATTCTTGATATTTCTAATATATGTGGAAGTTCTATATATTGATGAAAGTAATTTGTGGAGGTCTCTCACATTGGATTTTTACAAAGTGCAAAGCTTACTCCATGTTTAACTGAGTTTCTTAAAGCTTATTGGTAAGATCTTGTAGTGGATGATTTAAAATTGTCTGCGATGAAATGAAGTGTCAATTGATTCAACATAACATATAATATAGTTCCTCTCTCCAAGTGGTTAGTTTTCAAAGTAAAAAATTTGGAGTGTGTATTATATGTAAAAATTTTAAAATTCTTGAGATATTAATTTATAATTATATTTTAATTTTAAATAATGAATAATACTTTCAATCAAACAATTAAAAATAAATTGACATAACAATTTAACGTAGAAAAAATTACAATTTGAACATCTTCAATTATGATAAAAAAAATCACGGGACAAAATCACAAAATAATCCATTAAGAAAATAAAAAGAAATTATACATGTGTACCCTCAATTATTTAACGAATCTACGTCCGAATTGAGCCGACTCGGATGTGCCTCTTCTCTACCATCGTCTTTATCTCGGAATAGTCTTGCCTAATGTTATTGAACTCACAACGCTGATGTCGAATCCATGACGATGAGCCACTCCAAAATTCACCAAAACTTCATGTCCAAGTTCCCTGGAATCTACCGAAGAATACTTCTCTCTTTTGTGAATAAAAGAAAACAAACAACCCCCTTGATGATGTTAATATGAAGTTCATAGATCCATTAATTACTCTCAAATTATCAAGAAAACACTCATAAAAAACTCACCAATATAGAAAACCTTGTTAGCATTGTTCTTCCAAAATTTGGACTGCTTAAACTCTAAAAACAACAAATGGCACATTTTATAGTAAACTGAATCGCAAAAACCGTTCGAACGACCACTTCATCATTTGAGTGAACTCACTAAAACGCGTGCCCATCGCTCGAGCCAAGACTGTACTGCTCGAGCGCAAAATGAATTCTTTCAAATTCTTATATATAGTCAGTGAAGTAACAAATATGAAAGAATCAAGATCACAAACTTCTCTGCATAGACATAATTTGGATTAGATTTGCATTTAAACACTCACATCCTTATTGAAACAAAAGAACGAATAAAATTATATTTGAAAGAAATTTTTTCAAATAGAATTACCAATTACAAAAACCTAATAATATGGATTAGAGTGAGAGAGTCAGAGTCAAAAGACAGATTCCTTACCTTTTTTTTTCTCTCATTTAAAATCGTGCACCACACTTTCATCTTGACGTTAAGATGTGAATCATCCAAGACATATTAGAATGACATACTCCTCGTGATGAAATCAGGTTTGAAACCGAACTTCACTTCAGGATGACAGATGGGACAATTAAGGTGGGATCCACCTTTTAATTCACTCAAGGGATTTGGACGGTCCGGGGGACCACCGCGGCTACTCTCTTCGTATTTTATTATGTTTTTTTTTTTTTTTTTTTTTTTTTTTTTTCTACGTTAGTATTTTGGATAAATTATATTTACTTTTTCCAAGGTCATATTTTTAATATAATTACATTGACTTTTCTTAATATTTTAATTAACTTAATACCTAAAACTCCTTTTTATTAGTAATTATTTAGTAGTATGATTGAAAAAAATAATGTTATCGTTTCTTTTTTAACTAAAATTAGTCTCGGTCATTTAACCATACAAAAAGCGAATGTAGCATAATTATGTTAAAATTATAAGACTAACTATAGTTTTTCAAAATCTCAAAGGAGGCAGGTGTAATTTATATCCTAGTATTTTTGTAATACATTTTATGTACATAGTTACGATAATTTGTGATTTGTGATAGTTTTGCACATTTTGTAATTCAAAAATATTAAATATGTATTGCTATAACAAAAATATATAATATTATCGTGTAATTTCAATTTTGAATCACAAAATTGCAATCCAACATGATTTGTCAATTTTTTTGATGAAATTATAAACTATAAGTACAACCAATGTCCTATCTAAAAAAATACAGTTCCACCAATGAGTCTAACCTAGTTTAACCCTATTTAAATTTCATTGTATCATATTAAATCCTTATTACACCAACAACCACTGTTATATTCAGTTACCAGATTCAGATTCATTTTCCCAGACTGTAAAACCTCTCTCCAACTCTTTCATGGAACTTCTTCTGCTCAGCCTCTTCCTTACTGTGTTCTCTGCACTGTCAGTGTCTTCAACACAAACCATAGTACAAGGATTCCCAACCTTAACCCCCCAAACCTCCTTATCAGTAGAAAAAGAAACAGACTTCTTAATTTCCCCAAACAGAACATTCTCTTCTGGGTTCTACAAGGTGGGCACAAACGCCTTCTGTTTCTCAATCTGGTTCACCAATTCCCTCAACAAAACCGTTGTCTGGATGGCCAACCGAGACCGGCCCGTTAACGGAAAACAGTCACGGTTAACCCTCCAGAAAAGCGGCAACCTCGTATTAACTGACGCCGGTGGCTCGGTCATGTGGGCCACCAACACGTTCTCGCAAGGACAAGTGGAAGTCCGGCTTCTTGACACCGGGAATTTAGTACTAGTGACAAACAATGATAATGTGATCTGGCAAAGTTTTGATTATCCTACAGACACCCTGCTCCCGACACAATCGCTTGTCAGGAACACGACGTTGGTGTCTATGAGGGGACGAGGTACGTACTTGTCCGGGTACTATAACCTTAAATTTGATGATAATAATATACTGAACCTTATCTATAACGGTCCTATGGATTCAAGTATTTATTGGCCTAGCACGGTGCAAGAGACAGTGTTCTATTTTGGCAGAACACCGTACAATAGCTCCAGGGTGGCATTTTTTAATGAAAGAGGAAGTTTTAGATCGAGTGATGATTTGAAGTTTAATGCATCGAATTTTGGGGTTGGGCCTAAAAGGCGGTTAACGCTCGATTATGACGGGATTTTGAGGCTGTATAGCTTGGATGGGGCGACCGGGCTTTGGGAGGTGACATGGCAGCCCGGTGGTGTTGATGCTTGCAGGGTTCATGGACTGTGTGGACCATAGGCCCCGTTTGTTTTGGGCTATAAGGAGGGTATTGGGACTAGTAATACCAAGGTATTACTAAAGCACCTGTTTGTTTGCAGAGAAAGCCTTGGGACTATTAGTCCCTTGGTATTGCTAATACCCTTGAAGGGGGATTGGTAAGGAGGAGGTAGAGATGGTATTAGAAAATAGTGAGGGGATTAGAAATTTTTTTATTTTTTATATATTGGGAATGGAATGCCTGCCTGATTGATTGCAAATGCCAAGGTTTCGTGTATTTGCTTGTTGGAAAAGGACAGTGCTTTCCCAAAAGGACTCTCTTGAGTGGATTTCAAATTATTGATCTTTCCAGGGTGGCTCATGTAAAAGTTCCAAGAGATATAGCGATCTCTCAGAAAGGGAAAGTACTAAATACAAGTAGTGATTTGAATTGCTCGGCTGCAGAGGTGATGGTGTCGAGTGGTGGTGGTTCTGGCATTAGTGGTGGTGGAGAAAACACAAAGCGAAATGGGTACATGAAGTTACTAATTTCATTCGTGGGTTCGGTAGCAATCATTGAAATGGTCTGCATCGGCTTAGGTTGGTGGTTTGTGTGGCGAAAACATGTCCATGAGGAACTTGTGAACATGGGTTACATTGTGCTAGCATTGGGCTTCAAACGGTTCACTTACACCGAGCTAAAAAGGGCAACTCTGAACTTCAAACAAAAGATAGGAAAGGGGGGTTTTGGGACTGTCTACCGGGGAATTTTGGACAACCAGAGAGTCGTGGCCGTGAAGAGATTGGAAGGCATTTTGCAAGGAGATGCCGAGTTTTGGGCAGAGGTGAGCATCATAGGGAAGCTCAATCACCGAAATTTGGTGAAAATGTGGGGCTTCTGCGCGGAAGGCGAGCACAAGCTATTGGTTTATGAGTACATGGAAAATGGGTCATTGGACAAACTCTTGTTCACAGATTCACCCAGTAGTGCCTTAGACTGGGAACATAGATACAACATTGCTCTTGGGACAGCAAAAGGCTTGTCCTACATACACGAGGAGTGCCTCGAGTGGGTACTCCATTGTGATGTAAAGCCTCAAAACATACTACTAGATGATAACCTCGAACCCAAGGTGACAGATTTTGGCATGTCAAAGCTTTTTAGAGAAAGCCTTGACACGGGTTTTTCTAGGGTGCGCGGGACTAGAGGGTATTTGGCTCCTGAATGGATGAAGAACGTAACAATTGATGCAAAAGCCGATGTGTACAGCTATGGGATCGTCTTGTTGGAATTGCTGACCGGAAAGAGGGCATCTAGTTTCCATTGGCAAGTAGGCGAAGAGAACGAGTACAATCGGTTGGTACAATTTGTGAGGCAAAAGATTAAGCAAGACGTGCTTCTGGAAGTGATTGATCCAAGATTGAACCATGCTTGCAGTGATGGGAAGCTCGAAACATTGGTGAAAGTTGCGTTGATGTGCGTTGGGGAAGATCGCGATACAAGGCCTGCCATGAGTAAGGTTGTGGAGCTTCTGAGTGGAGATGATGAGAACATAGATGATCAGGAGGGGGATAAATAGATTATAAGAGGTTGCTTGATTGTTTGAATTTACAGGTATAATTGTTTTCCCAATTTTATGTATTTTCACAATTATAATGTATGTTAGTTACTTTCTGTTACCATAGCATAGCTTGAGAGTTTAATCTACTCAAAATGCATTGAGGGGTTTTATCAGTTTCTGGTAAATGTTTAGTTACTCATGCTCAAGTTTGGTAAAAATAATCCAAGACTTGCAACAATGGATGGGCATTGGATTTGTGGTATTTTGTCCCCGTCTCGATGTCGAGTTCCATTTTTAGTAGGAGGATATGGTACTAATGAGAAAGAGATAATGAGGAACAAAAATTGATGAGTGATAAAGAAAATAAAAATAAGAGATAGAGAAGTGAAAAACAAGAGACAAATGAATATTTTGATGTCGTAATTTTATTATATTTTAAAAATTAAACATGTAAAAATATACACATAAAAAGTTATTTAATTAATATAATTGGGATTGAGGTGGGAATGGGAAGAACTAGAGATATGGGATTAGGACAAGGAGAGGCCAATCCTATTCCCTCCCTTTTTTTATTGGAACGGAAAAAATTAATGAGGAGCGAAATAAGGGAATGTGAGATTGGGATAGAGTGAGACAAATTGTCATATTTGATTTATCCCATTAAGTAATATTCTGAAATTTGAATTGTTGAGAAAATTTAAAAATATAAAAAAAAAATCAAAATTATTAATTCAAACTATTGAGTGAATCAAAATTAAACTGTAACGTGATAATTAACTTATAAATATACTAAAAAATTATACATAAATAAAATGAAAAAGTTTAAGACAACATAGCGCCTGTGGAGAGCATTTTTCAGATGAAAATTCGAATAAAAGTGTGAAAAATGTTAGAGATACTAAATTTTCTACTATACATCTCACATGAGTGTAAGACTCACATCATATAAGTTTTATGTGAGCCTCACATCCATATAAAATATTTAATAAAATTTTTAAGATTTTTAACATTATTCTAAAAGTGCACATAAATGGTGAAACCGAAGCACGTGGTTAGGTTGATATAGATCGTCTAATTTCGTCCCATGCTTATTTGGAGCAAACAATAGCCAATATCATATAGAAAAAGTTAGGGAATGGAAAAATTAATTCAAAAGATGACAAAAATAAAATGTATAGTATAAATTTAAAGTAATACCACATTAGTCACATTCAAAATGAATTTAGTTCACATATTTTGTTTTGACTTTTTTTTGGGGATGGCTTTTCTGTTGGGTTTGGTGGACCTATTCTGAAGCTCACTTCAATGATTCGAATAACTCATTTTGTAAGACTTATCAAGATGAAATGTTATGTAAAAAATTAAGTTGATTGGATATTAATAACTATATGTTCAAGTTACATTATGTTATAAAATTGAATGGTAAATATGATTTTAAAAATAATTTTTTTTTTTTACAATAAATGTAATTCGATTATTTGGCTACCGATATTTAATCAATATAATTTTTTTGCACAGATACCCTTCTTGTTGAATAAAAAAAAAAATGAACGAGTCAAACAATTTAAAGTGAGCTTTAAAATGACCCCACTAAACCTAACAACACTCTCTAGTTGGATCACCAATGTCACGACTCAAATCCACCCTTATAGGTTTAGCGTCATAATCGGCTAGTAATCCTTGGATTACGAAAGGCCTCTGAACAGTTTATCACATATTAAGGGACTGCGGAAGCAAATATATAAAACATACATAGTCCATTGAGCTGTGATGACGTACATGGGACAAAATTTTCGAAAACTTATATATATACATGTGATGTCATAAATATGGTAGTCTTACGTCACCCATTTACACAAATAAAGTCAAAAGGGGACTTAGCTCAATGTACAGATAAACAGAAAATTTGCTCATATACTAAAAGAAAACAAGTCTTATACATTCACAAAATATGACCACATGACTTCCGGAACCTCCTCAGAAGGCATAAAGGTTGGCCGACAAAACAAGCTCTAAGCGATCATCATTGAGCCTGGGCATGCTCCTAATCACCTATATACATAATATAAATAGTGAGTGGAAGCCCAGTGAATAATAACAGAGTAAAAAGTTTTAGTTGAATGATGTCCCATATTAGATTCGGAAATCAGAGTTCATATCAGCAACAGATTCATATTCATATATAGAAATCAAAGTTTATACTTAATCATACGTAATACATTCATTAGCGCTAACAGAATAGATAGTGGTTATGTATAACCAGTTCCATAAAGGAACTTTCGGATCCGGGTAATAGATAATAAATATGCTGAGCTCAATGATGGAGCCTCCGGTATGGGTAACAGATTGCAGACATATTAAGTTCCATGATGGAATCTCCGTTACCGAGTAACAGCTAACAGATATCACGTGATGCTAAGGATGCCACGAATATATGTCAAAAATTAAACAATCATTCATTATATAGAACATAACATTTCAGAAAACAGATCTTATTTCATTATACAGAAAATAAATAAGGTTGAACATAGCTTTACTAAGTTATTACTCACAGATGACTCCAAAAGCAGACAGACAAAGTAGACAAATCAGATAGCTTACGGCGCATGACCTACGCAACATAACAGATACACACATAGTGAAACACACACTCGGATAGCACTTAACTTAGTTTTTTTCTTAACTTGGCGTGTTTCTAGTCCTTATCCTCATTATTATGTCTTAATCTTGACCTAAAAATGCTTAGGATGCAATGAGGATACAGAAAAACACTTAGTCAAATATGCTGAAAACAGGGGCCTCGCTCGAGCGTAACTTCTTCCGCTTGAGCGGAGGCTCAATTATGTGAGTGGTCGCTTGAGTGCAATTTCCTTCACTCGAGCATTCTGTAAACTCTACAAAAGTACTAGTTGTGTGATTTTGCCGCTCGACTCACGCTCGACGGTCGCTCGAGCATGAGACTGAGGTTTTTGCTCGAACGCAACTCTTGTCACTCAAGTGGTCTACAAAATGTGTAAACTTCTGGGAGCATACATTTTACATTCAAGCCGACTTTTGGTCGCTCGAGCGGAAGTGCAAAATCAAGAGTGGTCACTCGAGCACAGGTTTTGTCGCTCGAGCGGAGAGGCAAAATTATGAAATTTCCAGATTAATGTTCTAAGTCCAAAACTCAAATTCAAAGCTATAAAACACAACTTTTGGGCCCCAAAACTTGAGAAAACACTTGTAAACTTATGAAACATCATGAATTAAAGTTCATTACACAAAATCGAGGCCCAAAAGCAAGTGAATTCTCCAAAACCAAACTTGATCAATATGTATACATAACATGCATGCGTTGTCAAGAACTTTGACCTTCAAAAACATGTACAATGGAGTGTTAAAGTGCAAAACCACAATGAGCTCCCATAATTGAACAAAAATAGGTCCTTGCATGTGAGAATTTGTTAATCAAAACTCCAAATCCATGAAATGTCCATACGTGTATGAAATGTTCACATTCTCTACTTTACTAGCTCATTTCTTGCATAATTCAACCTAATCCCCTAGAAATCATGACCTAGATATAATAATTATATAATCTAAGTGTTGAATCCTTACCTCAACTTCTCAATTAAGCTCTAGTTAATGGATTCACTAAGGCTCCAAACCAACTCCCTTGAATTCTATAGCAATTTCTTCTAAGCTCAAGTTTTGATCTCAACCCCTTGGTCTCTTCCTCTCTCTCACGTTTTGTTTTTTGTAGGCTCAAAGATGATGAATTATATAGGCTTGCTTAGGGAATTAATTAAAGCTAAGCAAATTGACATTAATTATTCTAATTTAATTCGCTCCAAATCGAATTTCAATCAACCCTACTATAAAATTCTAAAAATACCAAATAACACATAAATCAAGTCAATTTCTTGATCGGATGCCGATAAGGCCTTCAGTTCGCAGAACAAAATAGAAACACAAACATATATTTCTAAAGTAGACAGATATAAACACAAATAATGTCACATGCATACAATTAATTCAGAACTTCATCTTAATTACTTATTAGACATCTTTAATTGTGGTTTAGCAATTAAACAAAGGTCGGGGTTGTTACAGTCTTCCCCTCTTAAAGAGTTTGGTCCTCTAAACTCGAATTACCTTCATTTTGGTAGACTACCGGATCCAAAGGAAATAAATCAAGGTATCTCTTCATCATGTCTTCTTCGGTCTCCCAAGTTGCATAGGTTCCTCCGTGATTTTGCCAATCAACTTTTACCAACGGTATTTCTTTGTTCCTCAATCTTTTGATCCAGCGATTCACAATCTGAATTGGCCATTTTTCATACATAAAATCATCTTTCAGAAGTACATGAGTTGGTTTAATCATATGGAATGGATCTCTCAAATACTCTCGAAGCATAGATACGTGAAAAACATTATGCATATGCTCCATGACTGGTGGTAAAGATACTCGATACGTCACCGGATTAATCTTCTCAAGGATTTCATATGGCCTAACATATCTCGGTGTCAGTTTGCCTTTCACTCCAAACCGCATTTTACCTTTCATAGGAGTCACTTTGATGAATACATGGTCCTCGACTTCATATTCTCAATCTCTTCTTCAGACATCTGCATAACTCTTTTGGCGGCTTTGTGCAGTTTTCAATCTTTGTTAAATCAATTTCACATTTTCAGTCGTTTCTTGCATAAGTTCTGGTCCCAACAAAGGTCTATCACCTACCTCAGCCCAACAGATAGGAGAATGACATTTTCTACCATACAAAGGTTCATAAGGGGCCATACCGATACTCGAATGGTAACTGTTATTACACACAAACTCGGCCAATGGTAAATAGACCTCCTAATTGCCTTGGAAATCTAGGGTACACATTCTAAGCATATGCTCCAAAGTCTGTATCATTTTTTCTGATTGGTCATCTATCTATGGGTGATAAGTACTACTTAGTCTCAGTTTAGTCCCTAAAGCTTGTTGTAAACTCTACCAGAATCTCAAAGTGAACTTAGGATCTCTGTCAGATACAATAGATACTGGCACACCGTGTAATCTCACAATCTCATTCACATACATGTTAGCCAATTTATCCGCATTATAAGAAGTTTTGACAGGCAAGAAATTGGCAGACTTAGTTAAACAATCAACAATGACCCAAATAGAATCTATACCTCAGGAAGAGTGAGGCAATCCCACAATGAAGTCCATGGTAATATGCTCCCATTT